ATTGTGCTCCCGGCTCGTTTGTTTAGCGAGCCGAACACGAGTCGTTCACGAATAAAGACTCGTTTTGACAACCCTAATCACGTAGTCATAAGATGTTACGAATTAGGGCAAGATTTAAAACATCATTTGAATCTAATTAAATATTTTTTTATTATATTTTCTTCATTAATACTTTTAATTGATTATAAATTTTTGAAGCCTTTGAGTCAATTAAATTTTTTAAAAATATTATTCATCAAAGATATATATAAAAATAATTAATTAATAGTATTTCGAGTCAAAACGAGACGAATACGAACGAACAAATATTTGTTAGTATTGTTCGTGTTCGGCTCGTTAACTTTGCGAATAACGAGCCAAATACGAGTTGTTCGAGAATAACGAACCGTTTTAACAGCCCTACCTATGTCACCTCATTTATGTATGAAAAAAATCATTTAAGTTAAAATAGTAATATTTTTTTATGTGATATGAAAGGACTTTGATGGTATAATTGTGAGAGGTAAAATTTAGGTTCAGGGATATGTATGGTATATATGTAATTGCCCCAAAAAATAATTATCATGTAAGCATTCATTATACATGCTCTTTACGGAATTTGGGCACAGTTGTAATTATTTATAAAGATGAATGTTATGTGTAAATTTTTTAAAATTTATTGTGAAAGTTAACTTCTTTTCTTAAACAGAGGCCGAATCTAATTTCATACAGCTGTTACATTCTGAAATGTGAATATTTACATACATATCCCTCAATTCTTTTGATATTTACATATCTACAACCCGTATATATATATATATATATATATATAGATTAATAAGTCTTTTGAAGACGAACAAATTATACCATGTGAATTAAATTAAATTATTCTTATTATTGTTATTATATTATTACTATTATTGATATAAATAGACATTTTTCTAAATGTTTATGTTGAGAATATCCGATAAAATACATGTCGGATATGATATAAAAATATCATAATATCAGAAATAATATATATTTTCATCCCTTCTTTTAAATGATGAATATGTTCTATACTTATGTCAATAAATTCATAAGGGAGCATTATGAGATCAAATTATAGTATTATTAAGAGAACAATTTCTCTATAACCAAAAAATATGTGTGGTCTAAACATGAAAGTTCAGCATTAGAATGCGCCATGAAACATATGAGAAAAAGGCTCATAAAAACCTATGGAATAAGCATGACTTTGTTCCATTGTCTTCAAGACATCACTTTTATATGTAATAGGACCAAAAAGTAAAAAGTGTGCTGAAAATTTGTTGAATTACATGGCTTTAAGAATCACTGTTAAATGAGAACTTTAGCATAAAGAATAGTAAAATTTGAAGATAGCATAATTCACAATAATTCTCCCCTTCAATATGGGTTCATATAAAATATATGGATTTATACTGTCATTCATATCAATTCAAAGCAGCACGGTAAACTTAAAATAATAATAATGATAATAATAATAATAATAAATAATTTAAAAAATCAAAGTCAGAACATGCACATAAAATAAGCACCTTCTTCCTCTCCCAAACCAATAAGTATACAACCAGGAAACCGATTATTCTACACAAACAATACTATATTTCAATGGCACAGCCACCAGCTGCTTAAGCTAAATATAGAGACGAGACAAAAAAAGAGAAAAAAAAAAACATAAAATTTTCTTCCAAATCACTTAATACTAATGAAAATTTGACCAACTTGCTTAAATAATGAAGACAGAATCTGCAATCAGAATTTACAGCATGTAAGAGCCGTTCTCCATCGGTGCTTTCTCAAATGTCTGCGGTCAGCTTTCGCCATTCTTACAGGGCTACTGCTCCACTCAGGTTGGAGTCTGCAAGTCCATAAGAAGTTGCAGAATATCAATTTGGAATGAAATAAGAATAGAAAATTCAATTACAGAGGCAGTGAAAAATATGCAACTAACCGCAGAATTACACGCAATCAAAAAATATTATTCACAAATATGCTTCCTTTTAGTTTACGCATATGGAATACTCTTCAGAAAACCATTTTGCCATTTGAAACATTATGTATTCAGAAACAACCGAGCAGAAGATTACTTACACTGGAAAGGCAAAGGACTGGCCACTGGTTGTGCTGCTCTCAGACCGAAGGGATATGTTCCCAGACTGCTGAGTATGACTAGCCGTTATTGAGCCAGAAAAATTAGCAGGTCCGAGCGGATTCATGTCGCCATGAGCAAGTTGAGAAAATGAACTTCGAGCTGAGGTTGCGCCATCGCTTACTGGATCTTCATTTTCAACATAATTTTGAGACTGGGGGCCCTGCTGGTTGTTTACAACTCTGTTCTCGTTGCCGACGATAGATGGGTCTCCAGCTCCCAAATCAGAAGTGTGAGTCACAACATCAATTTTGGGATCATCAGAAGTCCCACTGGTATTATCAATTCTATCTGATTTGGTTTCATTAGAAATAACAACAAATTGTGATGTTTTCTCTTTTTCAAATAGATCCTTGTCGCCAGAAACTGTTCCTGCAATCGGCTTGCTTTCTTTAGCTTTATCAGGAGAGGAAGCAGCCATGGTTGTCAAATCTTCCTCTTCTTCTGAGACCTATGATCACAAACATAAAGACGGCAGTTTAATGGAGGAAAATTTATACAAATGCAGAGCATGTGCATGCATACAGAAACTATAAGTAGGGTTGAATTTATGCCAACAAAAACAACAGATGTATTATTAATCAAAGAAACATAAGTTGAATGGTGTTTCCTATACATCCTGAGAAAGCAGTCTACTTGAACTTGTGCAGTGCTATTTTATAGAACAACATTTTTTTCCACATTAATGCTCAGGAAGAGTATTAAAGAAACCAATGAATTAAGAGCACCAATTTCACTCCTTACCTGATCAAGTTTTTGCCCCGGATCTTGCTTCTCAGAAGTGCCATCATTATGGCTAGATGAATCCACTCGAGGAAAATTGGTGTTAATATCTTCTAAAATGTGTGATCTCTGGTCAATGACCTCTTCATAAGGTATGGTTGAAGTGGTTTCTGTTGTATCAAATAACTTCTTCTCACTAACTGCACTGCTACAATGACATTGTTTAACCGGATATTCAGCAACTAAAAGAGTTTCTTTATCTCCAACATTTCTTTCCACAATTTTCTCCAAAGAACCAAGCCCTTCATTAGTTGATATGGGCTTCAAATCTTCGGAGTTTACTTTTGTTCTTGTTTCCTCACTATTGCCATTCACTCTAGGAAAGTTCCAGCAAGAAAATTTTTTCTCAAACATTTGCACGCCTTCATCAATACAAATGTCCTTGATAGTAGGAGCAGCTTTGGTAGATGCTGCCATATGTGGTTGTTCAATATCAGTAACAGTTTTGTCCATATAAAACATATCTTCTTGGACATTCAAGCCGGTTTCAGAAGTAGCATAAGGACATGGAGCGGCTCTGCTGTCGCTCTCATTATTGAAATTATTAGTTTGAGATAGATCTATAGATTTGCAAACTTTTCCCTCTATAGCATCTAACATAACATCTTGCTCTATTTTTCCACCGCGATCATCTAATTTTGGGATATCAGATGTGAACTGCTTGTTATAATCAGAAGTCATTTTTGAGGCATGGTCACTGCTGTCATATGGAGGCTGTGCATCTGTAAATTAAGAATAGATTCAATAGAGTGTTTTAAGCTTAAGAATATAATTGACTAAAAAGAAAAACAAATTTCTATCTTGAATTCCATCATTTCAAATAGCTGCATTAATATTAAAGAATAAATTAATGGAAAGCAAGAAGTGTAATGGCATAGTGTATACTGATGTTCTAACAATCACTCAATTATACTTGTGAAAAGCTGCTTTCACTTCCAAGTTACTAGAAGGAAACATGCTGATAGAAATATGGTATGTGAAGTTAGATGACAGACTTAATGAGAGAAGTGTGCAAAAGAATATTAAAGAAAAACCTAAAATAAACAAGTTCTAAAAGCATCGTGATGGAAGAACATTTTTTACAAATATTTTTAAGAAGAGAAGGCTATGCAAATTATAAATTGCTGCAATGACAGTAACCAAAATAGTCTGAAGATGCTGTATGATGCAGGATGCCAAATTGAATCATTATCAAGTTCCAATTATTAGATTCATTTGCAGTGGAAACTCATGGGCTATCCCAAATCATGTTTATATGATGTTTTCCACAATGGCACTAAGCTGTCTTACATGCATTAGTTTGCAAGCAGATATAATGTTAGCGGGTAAAATCCTAAATTATTTGCACTGACAGCACAGAAAGAGCCAATAGACATGGCCGAACAAGTGACTTTAAAGTGATCAATCTGATTTGCTATCATTTCAATAGAAGAAATATTACGCATTTTCACATTTAACAAAACCTGATGCTTGTCGAATAAGGTGTTTTTAACAATGGCCCAAGTAGCTTTGTAGATTCATTTATTATTGAAAAAAAATATTTCAAGCAAACACTTGGTACATGTGAGCTGAGAAAATATTCTATATTAAGAACTCAAATAAACATGACTAAAATTATAATAGTGTGATCATAGAACTATTAAGAATTCAGGTGTGATGCATGACCAATTTTCCTCGCGTTTACTGCCTGAAAAAAATTAATTTCATAACTAACATTATCATCTACAAAAGTGCCAAAGTTCTAAAACAAATATGGATTTTTTTAAACATAATGCTGCAAGGACTTTACAGATCAAGTCTGCGTGCATTACCTAACTGTGCCCTAGTAGCCTGCATAAAATTATTTAGAAAACACATGAACACACACAATGTTCCTTAGATCTAAAGCAACTACGAGATCTAGTATTAAAAAAAAAAACTACGAGATTTAATCATGCGAATACTTTATAATTGCGCACTGACGTAATTTGCCTTCCTATCAAAATTATGCTGTGTACGCACAGTATTTTAGCAAAACAAGTGCATACACAATAACCATCCAACAGCACTAGAAAATTAGCCTATCCAAATACCAAAAATATCCGAAGGCACAGACACGTTGACACAAATCAAAAAGCACAACAATGTACCAATATCTCTAAAAGTTTACCATGGTTCGCTGATGAAAAATTAAAATAAGATGCACACAAAAGATCACAGTTCATAGTTTCCAAACTAATAATTTAGACAAAGATCAACCCCTTATGAGGAAAATTAGAATTAACACTTTATTCATTTAAAACAATAACTTAAAAGTCACCAAATTCTTAAATTCCATAAGAAATCTAAGTATAATTATTGAGTCCAACAACGATTGACACACAACTTAAAAAAAAAGGCATGAATCTACAATGACCCGTTTTTATTAATTGGAGAAGAGGAAACAAGGAAATCGAAGGAAAAAAAGTGAGGAGACGGGCAGTCAAAGGAGGGAGAGAAATCCATTTGTCGAGAAGCAGAGGGGGGGGGGAGGTGAAGCAAGGAGTCATGAAACCAAAGGTTACTTTCGCTCAATAAAAGTACTCGTGTTCTTATCCTATGATAATTTGACCAAATGCATTTACTAATACTATCATTACTTATTTTGAAATGACTAGTAATTTTTTGTTCCTATTGTAGAAATGATATGTGTGCACAACCTTAATTAAATTATCATCAATATTGATTGATTTATAAGTATATTGACTGTTATGCAAATGAGAAATAAATATTTATTATTAGAAATTGATACTTTTATTAGATTCTTGTATTAGAATTAACACTTTATTCATTTAAAACAATAACTTAAAAGTCACCAAATTCTTAAATTCCATAAGAAATCTAAGTATAATTATTGAGTCCAACAACGATTGACACACAACTTAAAAAAAAAGGCATGAATCTACAATGACCCGTTTTTATTAATTGGAGAAGAGGAAACAAGGAAATCGAAGGAAAAAAAGTGAGGAGACGGGCAGTCAAAGGAGGAAGAGAAATCCATTTGTCGAGAAGCAGAGGGGGGGGAGGTGAAGCAAGGAGTCATGAAACCAAAGGTTACTTTCGCTCAATAAAAGTACTCGTGTTCTTATCCTATGATAATTTGACCAAATGCATTTACTAATACTATCATTACTTATTTTGAAATGACTAGTAATTTTTTGTTCCTATGTAGAAATGATATGTGTGCACAACCTTAATTAAATTATCATCAATATTGATTGATTTATAAGTATATTGACTGTTATGCAAATGAGAAATAAATATTTATTATTAGAAATTGATACTTTTATTAGATTCTTGTATGCGTAGGATTGACTATAATTGAGTCAACCAAATGTACGTAAATGCAAAAAATATTGATATTGAAGTACCTTAAGTGGTATAATTTATTTAGAGAGTGTTTCTGTGACGGTTGTACATATACAAAATAATAATGGTATGTTGTTGATATAACATTCATTAAATAGCAATCTCAAATACTTATATTGGTTTATTAAAAAAAGTAACTAACATTTATATTGCTTTCTTTTTTTATTGTATTACTATAGTTTAAGAGTACGAGTATTCAATGGTTTGTTTAGCTCGTGATTATTTTTAAGCTAACTTTTCAGATTAATTTAATTGATTAAAAGATGAATAATAAAAAAGACCATATTTATAGAAATTAGGATAACCCGCAATGAGGTAAATTTAAATAAATTATTTTAATTTAATTTGATTAGCGTCTCTTTCATGTGTTAATAGTTAGTTATAAAAAAATAAAGATGAAAAATTTAGTCCTCACTATCTGATCGTTTGTTGACGCCATGATTAACTCCAAGCTCTGGGACAGGTCAGAATAGAATCAAACATGGTAATCCCATTGGAAAAACTAATCACTAAATAAATAACAAGATTGTGTATCACTAATTGAAAAATCCAAGCTTTATGCAAATATAAGATGAATCATCTCTCAAAACTTATCGAGGCTGGCAAGGCGTTCAACTAAGAAGAATTAAAGATACAGAATTTTATTCAACCATTTGATCATTTATTTCAAATTAATTGATTTTATTTTATTTTTTACCTCCTATTACTGAAAATAGATAATTTCTCACAATCCTCCAAGATCTAGCCTAATATTGTAAGTTTTAGTGAATGAACAAAATAGATGATTGGTTTCTTTTTTTTTTTCTTTTTTTTTTCCTTTTTTTTGTTTCACAAATCGAAACACGCACACAGTGCATATGCAAAACCTTGAACCCAAGACCTCTTGCTTGAAAGCCAAAGCTCTCAACCACTAGGCCAAGATGGCTTGCATAAACAAAATAGATGACTGGTTTTCAAGCTTCAGGTTTAGCCCATTGAATTATCCTTGGGACAAGAACTCAAGTGCTGCTCACCCTCTCCAAATTGGAAAACTCCTACATATTGAACTAAGAGTTTTTTCTCTCATTCCGCTCATTAGGTGTTCTTTTCCTTGCACCCAACATATTTCAATGAAAACATCAGAGAATATATTGTCATCCAAAACTATGATATTAAGAAACGATAAAAATGGGAGGAGACTAACAGGAATTACTAATTCAAACAGAGGCGAGGCGAGGCGAGAAAGAAATCAAGGGATAATAGATCTTTCTTGAGAAGAAGGGAGTTCCCTCCCTTGGTTTAATATAATTTTAGCTTGTTCCATTAAATCCAATCAAAATCACCCTCTTCCTTAGCTTTTGTCTTGTTCAAATAAGCTTATATAAAGATGGGCGTTTGCACTAACTACTCCTGCAATTCCTGATGATGATTGCTATGTTTAATTTGCACGTGCCATCTATGGAGAAGTGACAACTCTTCTTTCCAGAGCATTGATGCTTAAAAGTCATCCAAATTGGTCCATTGTCAGTTTTAATGAAATAATCTCATGTTCCTAAGCTTTTTACCACCCAGGTGTCCATTCATACAAAATCTAAACTATAAAGTAATATTTTTTTTACTTATTGTGTATTTCAAGATTAGGAAAGAAGATTGGACTGGCCGGCCAAGAAAAAAAAAACTCTACATTCTTGAAACATCAAGTAATTCAAAGAGTGGTAAAATGACCAACCTTTGCCATTCATTTTCTCCATAAACAAAGACATGACCTGGCTTTATGGCCATCTTGGTATCCTTCATTTGAAATCATAAAAATTATATTTCCTTCTCTTTTTAAAGGAGTTCACATAAATTCATTTTGACATCTCTGAATTTGCAAAACATAAATGTGTCTTTTATAACCAGTAATAAATAAATAAAAGAAAAAAAATCTTCTTTATTTGATGCAAAGTGACATTTTGAGTCCCTCAACTAATCCTGACATAACAGGCACCAGTACAGTTAGTATCTTTCAAAAACGATCGCATTAAACTTTTCAACTTGGAAGTAAATAAAACATGAGCATTGTTCTCCAACTTTACATAATGTAGCATGCACTGGTTGGTTATCCTATATTTTTTTTATTTAAATCCAAATCAAATATGAGTATTGTCCTTCTTAGTTTGTAGAATGTGATAAAAAAGAATTGAGATTGAACTTAAAAAAATGATTAGAATCTTCAATTAAGTTGTCTCCAAAATTTCAAAGGGGAATAGTTCATAATTCTTCATGTATTTATAATATTTAACAACAAGGTTATATAAAAGAAAATTGGTCAATTACTAGCCAAAACTGTAGCATTATTATTTCAAAAAATATTCCAAAAAATATTGGAGAGAGGTCCATCTTATAGCTAAACATATAAGAAAAAAATGGGCTACTAAACTTTTGGAGTTCAAATCACCAATTAAGTATTCTCCGAGTTTTATTCCAATCAGAGCTACACAAATAACAAATTTTGATTGTACTGCTTTCGTTCATTTTCATAAAAATAATAAAAGGAAACTAAACGTCAAAGCAATCAAGTGTATCTTTATGAGATACTCATCTACTAAAAGCAGTATAAGTGTTACCATCCACCTGCCCAAAAATTGTGTCTATTAATGTCATTGACCTACAAAAGAAAAAAGGAAGTTGACTAGTGACTTGTGCATACACCAATTAACTTGAATCATAAATTGTAAGGTGCAAAAGAAGCGCTTGTTGTGGATAATAAAATGCACTAGAGATTAATTGGAAAACTTAATCATCACGAACATACAAGGCCCAATGCAAATTATGATGTGTGGTAAGTAACTTCATGCATTGATCCAAGGGAGCTCCACCTGCAATATGACTACTTAATTCCTCGCAACTTAAAATCTAATCATAGAAAGAAAGTTTAATTCAATCGAAGTAAAATTGGTACTTGAAGCCTGTACAAATGTAAATTACGTATGTTGCTCATTAATAGAAGATCCAGATCTCCACATTTCTTGGAGGTAATCTTAGCACAAGTAGAAGAGTAAAAAAAATGTGCGGTAAGGTCTAGTTCAAAAGCAACATTTAGAAAAATAGCATAAGGCAAATGTGAACTATTAGGGTCAAATTTCTACTTCGAGATCTAATGATTAAGTGGGAAGAGCCTCTGATACTCTATTATGATAGTAAGTCAACAATAATGTTTAAAAGATGAAATCAATAACTGAGATATTATGACCTAATGAGGCAAAGAATAAGCCTCAAATAAAAATATATAAAACAAAAGAAAATTCATAAAGTTGCCATAAATCCTTAAGAGCTTAACTTAGTTCATTATAATGAACCACTCAATGTAAAATAAAAAAAATAAAGCAAATATCAGCCTATGCCTGCTTCATTCCATCAACCATCTTTGTTGTTGTCCTTACTCTGTTATTCACATTTGAAGCTCATAGGCTAGTAAGATCTAAACTTCAACTATAATTCTTAACAAATTAAAGCATCTTAATCCATGAAGGATTCCTTACCACCTTGACTGAAATTCTATTATTATAAACATTTTGCAATGCCAAAATATACTCTATTAAGATCTTTTTTCAAGGCTAGAGAAGGAATTGCTTGAATTACTATTCTTATATTTATATAAATTTATAATAAATCTATTCATTGGTCTTTGATTTCCCATAGAGGTAAAATAAACAACTTCCACTTAGAATTGTCATGTTAGGAGCCAAATTAAGACCTCTTTTCAAGAAAAAATTTAAAAAGTTACAAGAAAATAAGATAAAACTTAAAAAAATAAAAATACTAGACTTACCCACTAACAGTCATAGAGCTTGCAATCCCATCCTTTCTCCTAATCGAAACCCAAATAGTAATTGCAGCCCAAACTTCAGCCCCCACACTCTAAAGCGCGTGCGCTCTAAAATCACAACCATCTCTTGCTCAACACTAGAGCCATATTAAATAACCGGTCTAAATTATAATATTAAAAAGTAAACCCTCTTATAAGAACTCACAACAACAACAACAACAACAAGCCTTTATCCCACTAAGCGGGGTTGGTTACATTAATCCTTTTTCTCCTTTGTATCCTATGGGGTGTCATATTTTCATTTAATTTTAAAAAATTAAAATCAATTATATACAATATGGCTAAGCCTTTTTTTGTCTACCTCTGGCTTCCTCAACATAAGTCGAATCTAAAACATCTACTTCTGGTGGTTTTGGAGGACATGGTATAGACATGTCTATACCAACAACACTCAATTTTGAGTAGACATCCAATCACTTCTTGCAGAGATTGGAGGTGGTAATGTTGATGCAATGAGCCATATTGGGCATGTTAAAGAACCACTTCACCTTAAGCCTAGGGAGGATCTGCACTTCAGACTTCAGAGAGGGATTTGGTGGTGATCATAGGATGGGTTCATGTATGGAAATGCATGGAGAGATATTGGTTTTTACTGTTACTTGTCAAGGAGCTAAAGCCCGGGTGTTTCAGGCTGCACCAAGATCAAATGGTAAGCAGGTGAAAATTAAATGTGGAGGGATGAATCATGAATGGCGGAGAACGTTGCAAATTTCCAGAATAGTGTTGATCCAATGAATGTAGTAGCTAGGACAGATGTTTGGATCATCCATACTGACTTGGATTAGAACGACTCTATTTTCAATGTCTCCGATTTGGATTTGAAGACGCAAGCCAAATCTTCTCCAACACCGGGAGAATGATGGGGGGGTGTCAATGTTAGTGCTATCAAGATTATGTTACAGTTCAGTTTTTATGTGTTTTCTATTTGAATGACAAAGTTGTAATAAGGGGGCTTTGAGTGCTTATAAATAGGGGTTGTTTTGTGTATAGGAGCAGATTTTGATTTTAGAATTGTGAATTTCTTTTTTTGAGAAGGTTGGGCTACCTGTTCGTCTTCTTTGCAGTTGTATGTTGGAGTTGACAACCTAGGTGGTGTACAACCTAGGTGGTGTCTTACAGTGTGCATTATTGTGCTTACTTTAAATTAATAGTATTCCTTTTGTTGTTCTTTGCCTTCAAAATTCTTCTCAACAATTATTGATTGTTGTTTTGTTGAAATTGTAGGTATCACCTCAGATGCAACATATGTTGGCGTGTGCAACTGGATACGTAGAAGAATAATGTGAATGGGATGGCCAAGGTCAATGACATTAATTTTTTTGTTTTACAGATAATAAAAAGGAATAGAAAACATGTTTTCATTTAATGTTAGAATATTAAAAAAAATAATTAGAAAAAACTAAAATCACAAATAAAAATAAAAACAAACAATAATGCTAAACAACCCTTAGTTACCAATTGCATAAGAATGGTCACTCTACTAACTACTACGAGTCATTCAAATGTCTAGACAAAACAGAAAAGCAAAATGAATTATTACTGTTAAAAAGGTTAAATTTTACCAAGTTTCATAATGTTACAACGCTTTAATGCATGGTAGTCCTTGGACCCACAAACGAAACTTAAAAGTGTCACCTGCAATCCAAAAAAAAATTTAAAAATCAGCACCAAAACATTTCTGAGGTCAATATAAAACAACAGCAGTATAAATTCGGAACAAAATATAAATTCCAATGTTCATCGAACAAATTCAAATTCAAATTCAATCACATAAGCCAATAAATAAAAGAAACAAGTTAGCATAAATGAGTGAACACGTGTGATTTCAAAGAGAAGCCCTAAAACACATATGCCACAAGGCTGGGCAATAACTTTTGGAGCTTAGTTAAAGTGTAAAATCAAAAGCAAAACACAGTTAATGAGTTGGTTCACAATACTAAAATAACTAATAATGAGGCAGCACAATGATATTGCAAGCAAGACAACCATTTTCTGGGAAAACATGAATGATACATGAAAATGCACATACAAAGGGAAATGTTAGAAAAAGAAACTATCTGCCATTGGCAACTCAACAAGAACAAGAAAAATCTTATGAATAGACAATGTATAGTAACATCTATGCGAAGTTATATTATAGTTTCTAAGCAAAGTCTCAAATATATACATCTAAAAAGTTGAGTTAATCTGTGTATTAAACTGGAGAAGATTTAATAGACATGAAATAGAGGTCGGTTCATCTTCAGCATGCAAGAAGGATTTATCCTTTTATCAATGGCCACGTCACCTAAAACAAACAGGCTTTTTATGAGCTAGGAAGTTACCGAAACCTAGTATTATAGTACGATAGAAAAAAAAAAAAAAAATTCATGGCACCGCACAAGTCAACCCCCTTCTATGTTCAGTACCCATCTCTCCAAAGCAGGATCCATTTAGTCTCTAGCAACACTATAATTTTCAAATAAAGGCATGCTAAGAACTGATCCATTTAGTCTCTAGCAACACTATAATTTTCACAACTCTTTCAGAATTAAAAGTTTAAAAACCTGCTGAAAATCAAAGCAATCACAAGCTATCTCAGGGCTGAAAATGAAGCAGACCATTAGCTGAAATAAAAAAAAAAAAAGAAAAAGAAAATCACTAAACCGCTTGCAGTAGTCACGTATGGATCATAGAAGACTTGCTCCCGGTCTCCTTCCAACTACCACGAAACAGGGGCTGCTCCTGTCCGCTTGGTGAACTTGGAAAAAGAAGAAGACAGCCAGCAAAAAAATCCTAGGCACTAAAGAAACCCCACATATTAAAATACCACAGAATAAAATAGTAATCCCAACATATTTAAATATTGAACAAAGCTAGCAGACTAGGGCCATATCCTAACAAGAAACCCTTTACCGAAAATCGTAGGCTTGGATCTATACCTTTCCCACCCCCCTTTTAAACCCTAGCAGAAATACGAAAACCCTAGGAAAAGCAAGAAGAACAATTAAGACGAAACGGACGAAGCTGTGGAATTACTCAAAGTTATCTTCGATTTGGGGCGATGTCAAAATGAGTCTCAAGTCAAAACCTCGAAGGGAGGAGACAATTAACGACTTAAAAAATTCACAAAAAGCAGTTGGTGACCTCAGTTATATTGAAGCAGAAAGCATTAAATAAAGGAACAAAGGTGAAATTTATAGTATCAGAGCGGCCCCATTGACACCTTTTATTGGAAGAACACGACGTGCTAACAACAACAAGCAAACAGCCAAAAACAATTACCATAGCATTTAAGAACTAGGGTCATAGTTATTAGTGGAAAAAAAAAAGAAAAAAAAAACTCCCTCACGTTTCTGAGAGCGCTGTGGGCAACCCACAAGTTCCAAAAATAAAAATCTCAAAAGTCGGGTCGATGCTGGAAAAGGAAGGAACACCAGGCCTGGCATTCAGAAAGAATTATGCAACCATCCAGAATTCTAGACAGACTTGGAGAAGAAAGTATCGAGGGTGAATTTGTAAAAGTGAATCATATCACCGATCAGTAAAAGGAAAACTGCACCCGTTTGCTTTAGATTATTCAAAGGATCCCCATATCCTTTGGATTGGATCTTATACTGAAATTTAATGAGATCATTTAAAATTTCTTCGAATCAGTAAATCAATGAAGCACTTGAACTAACAGGGAACAAATATAACCTCCAATCAAAGAGAATTTCTTACCCGTTCCGCTCTTTGGCTTTCAGATCAGATCCAATCTCCGATATCAATTCCAGGAGCTCAATTTCCTGAAGCAGGAAAACGACTTCCATCATCGATTGCTTCATCGACAATTTTTCTTCTGATTCGATCGTAAGCCGCTTTCAAGAGATAGATAGGGTTTGCATTAATTGGTCGAGAGAGACTGGGATGATCTGCTACAGGTTTCGTCTGAAGGAATTGAATGCAATCGATAGATGCTTACTCCACGTGGAATAAAGTTGCATGAGATGGCGATATGGCAGCCGATGAGAGGCGGAGAAAGGGTGAATCGTCCAACGGTAAGGTTGCAGCAGGCTGGGTGCTTTGCAGGGGTGCACGAGTTGGGCGTGGGTTGGCGCGGAGGGAGACGGGTGCTGCCAAATTTGACAAAGGGCAATTTACATGGAGACCAACCCAAACTTATTATTTACAAATTAACCACCCTCTTTCAACCATACTTCAATTTCTCACTCAAACATAAAAAATACATGGCCCACCTCAAATTATTCTTTTTTTCAAACTCTCAAAATTGTGACACATCGGTTCGGCATATTATTCTTTTTTTCAAACTCTCAAAATTGTGACACGCTTAAATACATCAGTTCGGCACTTCAAAAAAATAACGTGAATGTTTAATTTGTAAATATCAATGTTTAGAGTGGTATGTATGTAATTATCCCATTTTTAGTTATTGAATTATTTTAAAATTAATGTAATTAGGGGTGTAAACAAGCCGAACACAAACGACTCTAGGCTCAGCTTGTGTTGAGCTCGTTAAAAAATATCATTGTTCGTATTCGGCTCGTTTATATTTCGAACACAAAAATTGTGTTCGTGTTCAGCTCATTTGTTTAACAAGCCAAACAAGAGCTGTTCGCGAACAAATAGTCGTTTTGACAACTCTAATCACGTAGCCTTTGGATGTTAAGAGTTGGGGCAAGATTTAAATCTTCTTCTTTATAGTAAAACTTCATTTAAATATAGTTTAATTTATTTTTATACTATTTAATTTATTTTTATTTAATTTTTTAATTAATAATTTTAATTGATTAAATCTTTATAGCATTGTATAGGGCTCGTGTTCGACTCGTTTATATTTCGAGCTCAAAAAGTGTGTTTGTGTTTGTCTCGTTTGCTTAGTGAATCGAACACAAGTCATTCACAAACAAAAAGTCATTTTGACAACCCTAATCACGTAGTCATAAGATGTTAAGGGTTGGACAAGATTTAAAAATTATTGTTTATATTAAAACATCATTTAAATCTAATTTAATAATTGTTATTTTATTTTCTTCATTAATACTCTTAATTGATTATAAATCTTTGTAGCTTTGTATTCAATTAAATTTTTAAAAAATACTACTCATCAAAGATATATATATAACT